AGTCCAGACCCACTGTTAATTATAGTCTTAATGGCAACCCAAATATCAGGCATTGGATCAACACGATTGGCCGTACATCTAATTACGAATACAATCAACGTTGAAATACTCCGTTGGTCGATTATATCAATGAAAAAAAACAACACCTTTTAAAATATGAATACGTCAAAATAATACGTCGAGGTTGACCAAATTCAGGAAAAATCTATTTCTAAAATAAATTGTGTTCACAATATTTCATCTGAAGTGCATTTTCCTTACCGTATGCCTACCGGGACTTCAGCGTGCAATTTCGACACAGTTGCTCTCAATGGGATTTATTACATTAGATGTAACACCATTTTAATGCGTACCATGACTTGTGACTGGATTATTTTAATTTCAGGAGGATCGACCTGATCATTGCAGAGGTGAATTCTGATTAAAGTCATTCTGAAACGGTGAATTCTGTCAACGGCCGTTCTAAAGCTGTCAATTCTGTCACAGAACTTAGAATGACAACACTGTATGGAAAATTCAAGCTATTGCCTCAAATCAATCTTCTTCTTGTCATATCCTCCTTCATTGGAATTGATGGATATTCAAGAGGCGACATGGCGTCTGGAAGGTTCTATAATACCCCAAACCCTGGCTGTTCTAACGTGACTGTGGGAGACGAAGGGGCGTGCGAAGATGACCTTCTGACGTCTATCTACCACAACAGACAGGCGGCAGGCAGCCTCTTCTCTCCGTGGAAGATGTGCTTCGCGAAGAGACTTAACGAAGGTGTCTACATCTCTGGGCAGTTGACGCCAAGACAGATCAGATACGCCGCTGACTGTGGGTTCCAGAGTATTGTGTCCGTTTTCGACCACACGGCAAAACGAAGTGCTGACGGCAAGAGGTCACACATTTCAACGGCAACAGAGCGGCATATCGCGGAGAACATTGCCGGCATGAAATTTTTCACCGTTCTAAAACCTGGAGAGGATTGGAACAGCGTGGATGCCGTGGAGAAGATGGCTGACATTTATTCCAGACTTCAACTTCCGGCTTTGTTGCACTGTGAAAGGGGCGTGGCCGTGACATTTCTCATTCTGGCGCATTACGTCAATCAGACGATTCACAACCCAGGATTCAAGCCTCGAGTCAGTGTCAAGCGGTTTTATGAAATAACCCGAATTTTTGGATTCGATTTTCTGGAGTTATTTAATAAAACTTTACCAACAGTGAAATCGATTACTGGTCAAGATCTACCCGATACCGCCAGAAAGCCGAATGTTAGTTTGTCCAACTGGTTCGATTATTGGCAATCCTATCCTATTTACTTGAACTGGTTCATCGGTGGACAGTTAAACGCTCGTGAAGTCAGTGCTGTCAAAGTGAGTGGGTTCAAATCCATCGTTAATGTACGGAGTGGACAGACAACAGGAGATATCCCATCACAGGTAGGACATGTCATATTGTTGTAAGGAGTGGACTGACAACAGGAGATATCCCGTCACAGGTAGGACATGTCATATTGTTGTACGGAGTGAACTGGACTGACAACAAGAGATATCCCGTCACAGGTAGGACATGTCATATTGTTGTACAAAGTTGACTGACAACAGAAGATATCCCGTCACAGGTAGGACATGTCATATTGTTGTACGGAGTGGACTGACAACAGGAGATATCCCGTCACAGGTAGGACATGTCATATTGATGTACGGAGTGGACTGACAACAGGAGATATCCCGTCACAGGTAGAGCATTTCGTATTGTCGTACAGAGTGGAGTGAACTGACAACAAGAGATACCCTCTCACAGTCAGGACATGCCATTTTGTTTGTATTAAAATTGTATGTTGCACACTGTTTACATTCAAAGCATCAAACTAGTGAAGGTATAGCCACTGAATTCAAAGCCTGATCAATAGGAATTCACCCAAGCATCACTGAATATTTGCAGGAAAATGGGAGATTGTTTCGAAATGTGATTGATGCACCTGGAATTTATTAAAATTCGTAAACCCTAGGCTTACATTGTTTTTACATCAGCTAAAAATTAGTTCTTCGCATAATGCCGTATATTGAAAGATTATGGTTATTTATTTTAACATTAAAATCTATACCTAATTTCACATCTGTAACATAAAAGGGTTTTAAAATATCGATGTCAAAATGAACCAATTGCAGCTACATATTGTTTGTTCTTTGGGGTGGGTGCATGGGCGCCCGCAGGTAGGGGCAATGGGGGCACTTGCCCCCCCCTGATTGATTGAATAAATTTTTTTTAGACAAAAATAGACAAAAAATGTATTAAAGTAAAGAGAAAATAAAGAGAAAGTAACTAAGCTGATGTCCTGTCCGTTCGTTCACCATACAAATACGCTACAGTAAATTAAAACTACACTAAAGCATTACTAAAAATTCCCCCCCCCCTAGAAGTTTAATCGATTTTTTGCCCCCCCCCCTTAGAAAGTTTTCTGCGGGCGCCCATGGGTGGGTGTGGTATCCCCCCCCCCCAGTTGTGTCATTTTTATTTTCATGGTGGGGCAGCATTTTTTGGCTAACTGCAGAGTTTGTATGGTGGAAAGGGGCGGCAAAAATCTTGGCCCAACTAGGGTCGAACACTAGCTGCGCCTTTGGGCAGAGCATCTATCAGCACCGAATTTCGGCGCAATGATAACCATGGCCAGCAGTAACTCCAACCCCCTCCCTTAACATTAAAAAAAAAAAATCATTCCATTTGTGGCACCTCTTAGGGCAGTGGGTCCCAATCTTTTTGTGGCAGTTTCCAACGCAGCGGGGAAAAAGACAAGGGCAAATTTCTGGGAGCCATAGAGGTGTTTTTCTCATTTTAGGATTCAATTCTAAAGGAAGATGTGGTGCAAGGTAAAGAGTCACAAGAAAAGGGAGAAAAGCTTCAATTACAATATCTCAGTTCGATTTCCATAACGAGTTAACTGCAAAATGCCCTTCACTTATGAAGCAATTTTTGTACGACCGGAAAACTGCGAAGGGGTCGTTCACAAATTACGTCACGCTCCGGGGTGAGGGGGGTCGAGAATTTGTGACACTTTGTGACAGGGGGAGGGCGGGGGGGTGTAATAAATGTGTATCGTCGAAATTGCCTCAGGTATTATAAGTACTGTTAAACTCAGTCGCGCACACCTTCTGCGCATATCGAAACATGACGCAAAACTTGCTGTGGCAATTTTTCATTCGGCTCGGGGAGGACTTCGTTGTTTTGCGTTTTACGTCAAAGTTTTCTAATAATACTACATCTTAATCCAAAATGGGAAAATTTTGAAGAATAAAATAAATAAATAAAATCTTATATTAAAATTTTATGCATGTTTTGAATGTGTTTAGGTGTGACAAGACATTAAAGGGTTGGGGGGGGGGGGTAAAGAATTTGTAACACTTTGTGACAGGGGGGGGGGGGTCTGATAAGGTCATTCTTTTTGCGTGACGTTATTTGCGAACGAACCCAAAGTACGTTGTTGTTATTGTTGCTGATGCACCTGGGCAACTGGCAAGACTCAGTATTGAGTCTGATTTTGCAAAAAACGAATGATTTTGATGATGTGATTCACAATTTAGCTAGGAAAAAGGCTAGGAAAGTATGTTTGCTTAGAAGAAAATAAATACCATTACATATACACTCAAATAATTGTAATGAGCTTGTAATCAACACATTATTAAACTAACTGATTATGTATATCGTTTCATTATTATTTATATAGATATCTGTTTTATTGTTTTTTTATTATCTTTGACAGAAGTAGCTATCCTCTTTTTTTTTAATAGTATAGGCCTACTTGCAAGTGTGTTTGAATGTAATGAATAAATTATGACATCATTGATGTATGTGCCTATGTGTAGGTAAGAGGCCCATTTTTAGTGTTTTTCAAGCTCTTAATAATCGTCTCAGTGTCCCTGATGTTATGTTTATAATATGTGACATGTACAACATTGATTTGTGTATAATCAAATGTAGGCCTACATACAGGCTAGGCCTAGGTTTACTGATGGGAGGGGGGCGAGACAGGCCAGGCCTAGGTTTACTGATGGGAGGGGGCGAGGCGGGATTATTTATTTTTATTATCCTTGTGTTACTTCTCTGACTCAGTGTAAAATTAGTCCAGACTCTTTTAATCTTATTATTTCCCCTTGGCATGCCTTCTGTTCCCCGAAGAGAGTTTTTCGTTTTCAAGTTCTTTGTTATGGTTTGGGTCTAGTTCAATCTTTGAAATACCCCGTGCTTCATATTACCTTTAATCATGATCACAGGTTACACCCCCAGCCACCCCCCCCCCCCAAAAAAAAAAAAAAAAAAAATTCTTTGTTATGGTTTGGGTCTAGTTCAATCTTTGAAATACCCCGTGCTTCATATTACCTTTAATAATGATCACAGGTTACCCCCCCACCCACCCCCCCCCTAAAAAAAAAAAAAAAAAACAACTCACAAATCTTATCTTTAAAAAACACAAACCAACTTATCATTGTCATAGTTTAAAAACACAAACCAAATTACCTATGTTTACACGCACAAACCAAATTCGCATTGTTTTAAAATACACGCAAAACACACAGTGTTTACAAACACTATCCAATTTATCATTGTTTGCACAAACACAAACCAACTGCCCATTTAACTAGTTTTATTTCCCCAGGAAGGAGTGGAGCTAATTAACATTTTTTCTGGAACACCCACCTATGGCACAAATCGCATTCCCCCGAGGCAATCAAAGAGAGGTCTGAAGTTAAGTGTTGTTGACCATAGAAGATCAACTTCATTTGTCAGTGAGTCATCAAGAGTTAACTACGAGTCATTGAACACCGATGAGTTTGGTGACAAGATTGGATATAACGAACAATTGGAAAGAGAAGCTGTTAAATCTGCTGAGATAAACTACGGTCATCTACCTTTAGGTAGGTCAAGATAATTTTTAAATTGTACGGAGTGCTTGTGTGTAACACTACGGTGCTGGTACAGTAATATTTTTTGCTATCACTTTTTGACTTAACACCGGAGTAGGAAAAAGCAATTGTTTTAAAAACAACGCACTTTGGATTAGAGAAGTTGACTGAGCTTCTAATAATGAGAAGATTGAGATAATTGAGGATTTCATTAGAAAAAAAATGTGAATTAGTGTTAAACAAGTAAAACAGTTCTGTTTATTGTGGTGGCTGTTTATTATCATTAATTTAATAGGAATAAATTCGAATAAGAAAGACCCTACTTCAACCAACTAAAACTACATACGACTATGACTATGACTAGGCCTACGTGCCATTCATTTAGGCGCTCATGTATGCATTGAATTAATTTTTTTAATTAGTCACATTCATCACATTAGACATTGTATTGGTTTAAGTTTAAGAAAGATGGCAATCTCAAATACATGTGAAACAAAACTTATACTCATTGGCTTTATTTTACATTTATATTCAAGTGAATTTGTTGTGTTAGCTGACGACAGTCTGATAGTTGGTGGGTCTATTAGAAACATTCCATCAGTTTTTCCCAGTCGGTTGCAATGGCCAGGACTGCATAGTCCGAGAAAGGCTTGGTGGGCCAAAGAAATAACACCTGATTTTCATGTTTGTGGACGATTGACAGAACGTCAAATTAAATATGCAGCAGAGGCTGGATTTAAAAGTGTTGTTTCATTATTTACCTATCCTGATGAAGATATTGAGGATAATTTTGGAGGTGTCCATCTTCCCAACACTGCAGAAGAGCAAGAGATAGTTGAAAAAATAGCAGAACTTCAATTCATTGCCTTACTTGATCCAATGGATGAATGGGCAAGTTTGGAGACTATAGAAAAATTTACTGCCATTGTTCCTCATATAAAAACACCATCCTTGCTTCATTGTGACAGAGGTAGAACTATTGCTTTTGTTATTTTACTCTACATGGCCAATCAGACAAGAAATAATAAAGATTTTCAGCCTCGGATCCACTCTAAAGAATTTTTTGAAATAACTGCAGCCATGGGATTAGATTTTTTTTCTCGCCTACCACTTGAAGTTGTTGCGGAAGTAACTGGTGAACCATTAGCGACCCTAGATAATAAACAGGTGCCAAGAGCTAACAATGGGCCTAATGACTGGTTGGACTACTGGGTTGCTCATCCTGTTTATTTGAACTGGTTCACCGCTGGACAGATTTACAAATCACACGTTTTACTCCTGAAAGAATTTGAGTATAAAAGTGTTATCAATCTCAGGCCAGGTGTAACAGAAAATGGAGTTCCAAGTCAAGAAGAGGTCAATTTGTTAAATGTTAAAAGCTACACAGGAACCTATGGGAATTCTCATTCCAAGCCAAGGCAGTCTGATGAACGTTTACGTGAAACTCTTGTAAAACCAAATCGCCCCAATATTTTTATCAGTAATACATCACAAGTAAATTATGAACGACGTAATGAAGAAGAATTTGGAGATGAAATTGGATACAACTCTGAACTTGAGAAAGAAGCTTTTGAGAAATCAGGGCTGAGCTACTTCCATTTGCCTTTTCGATATGATGGTATGAATTTTATGAATTACTCATCTAGGTAGACTTGAGGGGCATGCTGTTAAAGGGATGATAAGATTTTTGTTAGCATTGTTGGGGCACTCCATGACCACTTGTCTTATTCTGAATTACCTGATAAGGGATCTATTCTTGTCATACACACTATGTCATCCTGATTTAACTAATAATATTAAATTTGATACATACTAAGGCTACACCATTTTTATGCATATATCATATTTTTATTTAATTTATTAAAACTTACTGAATGTTGTTCACTTTCAACTTAAATGTTTCCTCCCCACCTGTCCAGTTTTTACAAACCCCTTAAGAACACAACCCTCTGGATATCTTTGTTTGTTTATTTATTTAATATTTCAGTGCAGCTGACTGCTTTTGAAGATTTCTTTAGAGAACATAAAGACACACTGTTAGATATTGGCAAGAAAGGTCCTGTCTTGGTGCATTGTGCAATAGGACTGAGAGCAGGTAGTTTGATTTATTTGTAATAATTTACATTTAGTAAGTTCACAGGTGAGTGATCAGCGGGTAAGTGCAACTCAGTCGAGAAGTATAGCAGATGAGGGGGATTTCTATACGGTAATAATATTGTACCACTGCTTCGTCAACTATTTCTTATTTGTATGATTTTTAGGGAAAAATAGAAATTATGCACCATTATTAAGTGATATGCCTTATGTGCAGTGTCTGGACACACAATCTCTCTTTGAGGCAAACACTTATAAAACCTGATGTTAAATGAGAAATGTTGTTATCCGCATTTGTTAAGTCTCGTGAGACTCAGAGGGCTGTGTAAGGAAATCTCAAGAGACTTGGAGGGCAGGATAGATTTATCCTAAAATAAAGGTCGCTTTTATCTGTGATCAGAATATCTAAAAATTGTATGGCTCACTTTTATTTCCATGTCGAAATTTAGTGTGAAGAAAGAAATCATAGCTTTTCTGACAAAGATTACATTAATTTAACAGAAATTGGAAATTAAATATCTGGAGCACTTTTAAATTCTACAATCATCTTTTTCAAATGAGTGACAAGCATGAAGCTGGTTTTCTCTGACATGAGGCTCAACCCACTGGGGCTCTAGTAAACATGTCTAGTGGCATGCTGATTAAGAGGTGGTGCCACCGACCACTCTGGCATCACTGGGGGGGGCAAAGCACACAATTTAGTGTACCTGCATTTGGAGACAAGGGTCTTGCATGGTATCTGTGTTAGAAGAAAGAGCACAGCTGTATGGTACCTCCCACTACAGTTGAAAATAATGACAGAATCATGTCACTATCATACAGCCCTTGAGGGGACTGTTCCTAGGCAACTGTTTCATCCCAGCTACTCAGTGAATTATTCATGAGGTAGAAACCATTTGTAGAAACCCTATTAGATGTCGTCAGACGCAACTTTCGCACAAATGAGCAATCTGACAGAAGTGAGGTTGGTTAATTCTGGATATTTGGCTTTTATTTATTTTTTTTTTTAAATCACAGAACTGATGATGATTGGGGCCATTAGAGCAGATAAAGCTCACTTTTGAAACCACTGACTTCTTGACAAAGGATATTAGCAATTATTTTTCCCACATTACATGCTTATGAATTATGCAATGAAGAACCATAGCCTTGGCACAGCCAACACTTAATACAGCCTTCTTAATTTGATCCAATTAACCTTTACCACACATGATATACCACCACTTGTTGTGAGGTAATTGAAGTTTTTTCCAATCCAAATTTGTCTACCTCATTGAAAATGTCACCCCCTTGTTGTTGAATGCATACTATGCACAGACAGTAAATCTTCGGTGATCTCAAAAATCACTATAGACTGCGGGACGGATAAACCCCATCGTGGGCCAAATCTAGGCCAGCGAGCCGTAATTTGCAAACCCCTGCACTATACTGTTGTCTCTGCCTCTGTATTACTCTTATACTGGTGTTGACAATGCCATAGAGTGATAAAGACGATCTGAGGCTGAATTAACTTTACGTAAAATTTATATCTGATTTCTTTAAAACTTTTCAGCTATGGTTGCAGTATTGACGGCTGCATTACAGTACAACCTGTCCTTTGACTGGGCCCTTCAGCGTGTAAAGGAGTTGGGTTTTGGCTTATCTGAAGAGACTTATCCTGATGTGTACAAAGTCTACAAGGACTACCTGCTTTCTGATGTAAGGGTAGAATTGTAATATAATTATAAATTTATTGGCATAACATCAATGACTTAAGGAAGAATGGAAGAAGCTTCTAATTTTAGTTTAAACCTGGCAAGGAAGAAAAATAAAAATGTTTGTACTAGTTCGTTGGATCCTTAACTTTGTTTTTAATAAGTAAATGGTTTTGTATGGGAATTTTAAAAAAATTCTTGAAATCATAATTTTAAGAAATATATTTGTTTTATATTATTATGATATTTGAGTAGGCAAAGTCTATGCTTTCACACCTTTGTGAATGCTTATTTCACAGACGTAGTCTTAGTACCTATAAATACTAAACAATTTTTCATTTGTGTTGGGAAATTAACAATCCGTTGTCTGTATAGTTGAATGAAACGGAAAAGTTTTCTTGCAAAATAGATAACAGCGATTTACATTCTGAAACTGTCAAAATTATACTATTATTTTTAAATGTTTGTACTGCCTGACCTTCAATTGCATGAGTGTTAGTCTAAATATATTATTGCAGTTTTTGTTGAAGCATTTTTATTGGATTATATAACTATTAAGTTTTAGAGATAACATGATTGTTGACCCTTTTAAATGTTTTGAATAATTTGGATACAGAATACAGTGAGAAAAAAATATTTGAAGGTGGAATGGTTTTTTTTTTTTTGTGAATGGAACTGGTTTAGATTAGCAAAGTTTATATGGAACTGGTTTAGATTATTAAAGTTTATATGGAACTGGTTTAGATTAGCAAAGTTTATAAAAAGATAACATTTGCATGTTTGGTCAATCCTGAGCTTGACTGGCCTGCACTTTTAACTTACCTGTAAGTCTAAAAATGTGTCTCAAGTCTACAGTGTAAAACACCAAGTTCTAAAACTGATTTTAATTGATTTCTATTTTTTTTTAAATGGTAACCTTACAGTTCATGTTAATTATGAATGAAGGAATGTGAATATTGAAGTTACTGGGTAGAGACTTAATGTTAAGAAGGAAATGTTGGCTTTTTTATTTTCTCATGCCTTGCCAAAAATAATGAAGAAATTAATTACATTTTAACAATTAAAAAAGATCTTCTTGAAAATTCTGCCTTGACCCTGGTACAGTATTTTAAGTTATTTATGAAGCTATTTCACTTGTCATGTTGATTTTACAGGGTAGTTTCCCTTATTTTCCAGATCTTGCACAGAATTTTAAATTTTTAAATATTTTTTAATCTAATACAACACTTTATTTTCTTGATTACATTTATAAAATAATTTTAGCTTGTACCAAACAAATTATACAATGAAAAGGAAAAACAAAATGTTGTATTTTTGTGTGATTATAGTATTCAGGAATGTATATTGTATCTGATATGTTGTTTATGTGACAATCTAATGTGTGCATAAGGTTATGACATAATTTTGCATTGATAGGAAATTGCATCTATTGGCTGTAACCAGGTGTAGAGAAAAATAATAATATTTCAGAAGCGGGCATTGTTTATTTGAACTGAAATTTATAAATGCATGCACCATTTAAGAATGTGCATGCACATTGGTGGCCAGACATGTAAAGTTTGCCCTTGGGAATGTAATGCTTTGATGACATTAGTTTCTTATCAGAGAGAAGAAGAGCCTCAACTTACCTGTGTTAAGCTGACTTTGCTATCAATATAAGTTTTCTAAGTATTTTAGGTAACGGTGAACTATATTTAGTTTTTAATGCACCTGTCTGGTTTCAGCATTGAAAGCTTCAAAATTCTAAAGGGACATAACTATTTCTTGCTAACAAATATTGCATTCTCCACAAGAGTTTGTAACTATTTTAGAATTAAGAAAAGTGATTGGAATGTTACATACCAAGTGGTGCTTCTGTTAATGTGCTTGTGAAATGCTCAACTTTGTAATATTATCATCTGTGCTTTAAATTAAATGAAGACATATCAATGTTTAATACATATTACTATTATCAGGTCTCCTCAAGCCTTTATTTTGTAACTATTGAACAAATGATAAACATATGTCAGTACATGTACTTATATTTTTATTTAAGCTCAAGTATGTAATTGCTCACTTTCATTTATGGTAATTCTTTTATCATAATATCATCAAAAACTCTTACTGTATACTTGCTTCAAGGCTCTGACTATTGCAGAACATTAGATTAGAGAAATTATTTTAAATGTATAAATTGAGAAATATATATTTAAATAAAGCACTGTGATAGGGTATGAGAGACATTCTATAAATAAGAAGCTTTATTTTCTTGAACCTAATTTCTTGTCAGTTTGATAATCAGTCAATATCTATAGGATTGATTTTTCATTTTTTATTCGGTTTGCATTTTATTAAATGTGGTTGGCAGATGCAACTATTTTTTTGGTATTTTCATTTTAACATTTTGTAAATAAATAAAGAAATCAATTGAAAGGGGAAAAAAAGAAGCGAAAATTAAATATTTTCATAGCATCATACTTGTAATATCTACTTGCATAAATTTATAAAAGCATATTTTTACATTCTTGCTAATTAACCTTTTATTGTAGATTGATGAAATTGAGTTGTTGATGTCTTGAGTTGTTGATGCCTTGTATAATTATTTCATGTTAAGTCATGAAGTATGTATGCCACCTTTGTCAATTTATTGGAAAGGAATAAATACAAATAATCCTATTTTTAAACAATGGAAGATTGTTTAAATGGATTGGTTAATTAAAGAAAGATAATTTTACCTTACTAAAATAATTACTTGCCAGTACAATGAGTTGTGTAACCTTTTTTTTTTTAAATGTACAAAATGAGTTATTCATGCCCATATATAGAGCTTGTCCTTTCTTTTTTTCTTCCTCAAAACCAATGATTAATTTAAAGACGTTTCCTTTATTTTAAAATTTAATTTGAGGCCATGACTTTTTGTTATCAATGACATTTTAAAACTGATTGTGAGAGAATTAGAGAATTTATATTATCATGAACTGAAATAGAGAACTTTTTTTTACCCCTGAAAATGTATTCATGACCACCTGTACCACTGACTATTGAGGCATATCACTTTTATTGTTTCACAGTGAACAATACCCCATGTCCCATATTGGTGATGGGACATTTTAAATTAATTTACGTAGCACTTGTTGAAGTTCATGTACCTTCTAAGAGTCTATTTACCACTTCTTAAGAACCGCTATATTAAGGAACATCATTACAGGCCATCATACTGCATGAGGCTTTTAAAATAACCTGAAAAACCTTGGTTTACAAACTTGAACAGAAAGCCATTCTGAGAAGTGAGCCATGGATTTTTTCCTAACTCTTAATCAACATAAAAAAGCCATTTTTGTTAATGCTTCCTTAACCCCCAATGACATCTTATGTTAACCTGTGTACTTACCTACGTGATTGTTAACAGCATAAATAAATTATAACATGCTTTAAAAATTAACATAATTTAACTTTATTTAACTTGACTTGGAAAGTAGAAGATGAAGAAGGACGAATGTGAAGACATGTTTTTGCTTGGAAGAGTCACCTCCCATATTGTCAGTTTTGAAAAAATCTGCCCTTTTTGTAACTTGGAATCATTGTCAGCTGGTCATTGCCTAATGTCAGCCGTTTAACAAAAGCCAATGTCAGCTGTTCATAAGCCAATGTCAGCTGTTTGTAGCCCAATGTCAGCTGTTCGTAGCCCAATGTCAGCTGTCCATAGCCCAAATTTTTTGTGTGCTCTCAAAACAATAGTTGGTTGTTTTAAAAAAATCTTTAAAATAAAGATTAAGGGCGTCTCTAATTAGTTTGAATGCATGTTGTCATCTATTTTAAGAGACAAATAATTAGATAAAAATGAAGCGTGTATTGTCTTGAAGTGTTATTATTTATATTATTTTTTTAGTTTGCATGAATGCATTTTATGGATACAAGAAAGGGGCACTTTTCATCTTTAAAACTCTTCTTTTATTAAGTTAAAGAGATCTGAGTTTTTATAATTGGCCCCCCCCCCTCTTTTTTTCCCCCACTCACCTTGTAGTAGTTGCCTTGGGTCCCATAACTCTATGTGTACACTACTATAAAAATGTTTGATAAAAACTCTGATGTACTCTCCTAGTCAAATTTTTCATGATGAGCTTTTTTGGGGCTTCCATCACTCATGGAAAAAACAGATCTTTTCCAATGTGCATTCAGTACAGTTTTATAAAGAAAGTACAGCATAGTGCTAAAAAAAAGTACAATTTAATGATAATAAATTTTTACTATGTCATAAATAATTACTGCTTTATAATATAATTATGGATTTGGAAAATGACTAGCCAGATTGTATTTGTTGTTGCTTAAATTTTAAACTGCGCAGATGTTTTTAATCATTAAGTATACATTTATCAATAATTGTGTGCTCATGTAAGACTTCTTGTAGAAATTCAATTGCAGATAGCTTTTTTATAATCAGATGATGTATTCGAGTTGAATAAAATGAGCCATTCTTTGAGCAGGTAGAGCAGGGTACCGTTGACATTTCAGCTGGCCTTATCCACAATAAACATATTTTTCACATTGCCTCTTCCCTTCAAACTTTTTGTTTTGTCAGAACATGATTACTACTTTGTCCATGTTGTTTCTAATAGCTCTAACCAAGTTTGAATATAGGGATTATGAAAATGAAAGTAAAATGGTTCATTGGCGAGGTTCCCATGCAGCTTGAATAAAGGAACCATGGTCATCAAGGTAAATGAGACACATCCGAAGGTCCTAAGTCACTCTAAGACTGGTACTCAGTCTGTATAGTACAGGGTTTCTCAACCGAGAGTGCTCGCACCCCCAAGTGTGAGGAAACAGTGACCAAAGGAACAGAAGAGCCTTTGAGTATTCAATTATGATAGAAATGTTAAACCAGTTTAAGTTATTTCTTCCTGAACATTCTCCTTTTACATGCAAGAAGTGACACGTTTATTTTCTAGCGTCTGGAACTCTCCTTTTAATTGAAGAACAAAAACAAGAAGTTCATATTTGTCCATTTCAAAAATGCATTTTGGTTGAAAGTTGTGTGGGATTTGAGACATAGTAAAATATAGCAACTAAAGCCATAGAAGGGTCTACAACAGAAAGGTGAAAGAAGGAAAAAGAACTGCAGATTGCAGAGATGGTTGGGAACCCTGATCTAGTGCAAGTCCAATGTCTGTCTCTTTATTCATATGAATTGTAAGAACATCGCCATAGCGTCCTGAAATGTAAGATGAGTTGGTTTTTTTTACCCATTTAGTTTTAGTTTGGCTGGGGTTAAAGCTGAAGTCATGTGACACAAAAAATATTGCATCCATTTGTGTCTCTCTATTCACCCCACTCTCTCTATTCATCCCACTCTCTCTATTCATCCCATTCTCTCTCTCTTTTCATCCCACTCTCTATTCATACTACTTTCTCTCTATTCATCTAACTCTCTATTCATCCAACTCTCTCTCTCTATTTATCCCAATCTCTCTGTTCATCCAACTCTCTCTCTATTCATCCCACTCTCTCTATTCATCCAACTCTCTCTCTCTATTCATCCCACTCTCTCTCTCTCTCTCTTTTCACCCCACTCTCTCTCTCAACTGTCTCTATTCATCCCAGTCTCTCTATCCATCCTACTCTCTCTATTCATTCAACTGTCTCTCTCTATTCATCCCACTCTCTCTATTCATCCCACTCTCTCTATCCATCCTACTCTCTCTATTCATTCAACTGTCTCTCTTTATCCATCCTACTCTCTCTATTCATCCATATCTCTCTCTATTCATCCCATTCTCTCTCTCTTTTCATCCCACTCTCTAATTCATACTACTCTCTCTATTCATCTCACTCTCTCTTATCATCCAATTCTCTCTCTTTATTCATCCCACTCTCTCTATTCATCCAACTATCTCTCTCTATTCATCTCACTCTCTCTATTCATCCAACTCTCTCTCTCTCTCTCTATTCATCCCACTCTCTCTATTCACCCAAATCTCTCTCTCTCTCTATTCATCCCACTCTCTCTATGCATCCAATTCTCTCTCTCTCTCTATTCATCCCATTCTCTCTATTCATCCAACTCTCTCTATTCATCCCACTCTTTCTCTCTCTTTTCATCCCACTCTCTCTCTCTATTCATCCCACTCTCTCTCTTTTCATCCCACTCTCTCTCTTTTCATCCCACTCTCTATTCATACTACTCTCTATTCATCCCACTCTCTCTATTCATCCCACTCTCTCGATTGATCCAACTTTCTCTCTATCCATCCCACTCTCTATTCATCCAACTCTCTCTCTCTCTCTCTCTATCCATCCCACTCTCTCTATTCATCCCACTCTCTCTATTAATCCCACTCTCTCGATTGATCCAACTTTCTCTCTATCCATCCCACTCTCTATTCATCCAACTCTCTCTCTCTCTCTCTATCCATCCCACTCTCTCTATTCATCCCACTCTCTCGATTGATCCAACTTTCTCTCTATCCATCACACTCTCTATTCATCCATCTCTCTCTCTCTCTCTATCCATCCCACTCTCTCTATTCATCCCACTCTCTCTATTCATCCCAATCTCTTGATTGATCCAACTTTCTCTCTATCCATCCCACTCTCTATTCATCCAACTCTCTCTATCCATCCCACCCTCTCTATTCATCCCACCCTCTCTATCCATCCCACCCTCTCTGTTCATCCCACCCTCTCTGTTCATCCCACCCTCTCTGTTCATCCCACCCTCTCTGTTCATCCCACCCTCTCTGTTCATCCCACCCTCTCTATCCATCCCACCCTCTCTGTTCATCCCACCCTCTCTGTTCATCCCACCCTCTCTGTTCATCCCACCCTCTCTGTTCATCCCACCCTCTCTATTCATCCCACCCTCTCTGTTCATCCCACCCTCTCTGTTCATCCCACCCTCTCTGTTCATCCCACCCTCTCTGTTCATCCCACCCTCTCTGTTCATCCCACCCTCTCTGTTCATCCCACCCTCTCTGTTCGAACCATTTTTCTTGGAACACATTTTTGTATACACATGTTCGGTAACCTTTTCCACTTTGTCCAAGTTTTCTCATGAGCCGGCAGGTGGCGTTAGTTGTTTGATGAGTTAGTTTTTATGCTCTGTTTGGTAGGTCAGGATTGTAGGAATCACATTATTACAGCCTAGTAATAAAAGGCAACAATGGTTCTCATCTTCTTTTAATACAAGCATCACAGGTTATTACCATTACACTGCTAATATGGTCTCCATGTGACTCGTCAATTATCAATCCAAATGTAAATAGAATTTAATGTATTTTAAAAATCAGACACAAGGACAAAAAAATTAGTTTGAGCTGGTTGAGGTTGGGGGACCACTGCCAATTATCGCGGCTATTAATTGGGGGACTACTTATCTAAATTATGGCATTTTGATTTACTTTAAACGTGCACATAGAGAATTGCATTACTTTAGCTGTTGGTTTCATCATAAAGTGTTTGGTTTCACATACTAAAAGCAGGGCCGTGCGAAGGGGTCATACGCCCCGGGTGCTAACATGGGGGTGGGCGCCATAATATGTCTCTAGTCAGGACGTTCATGGTGGATTCTACGATAAATACAAGGCAAACATGTTCACATATTTTTTACAATAATCTTGAAACGATAACATGGCAGATGAAATGTTACGAAATGATCATCAGTAATTTTGTTACTGAAATTTAAACATATGGGTTGTATGGAATTTAACGTACTCATTCCAAATATGATTTCAGAATCATAAATTTATATATATATATATATATATATATATATATATATATATATATATATATAATATATCAACAAGTTAACAGCCAACAAGCAACTCAAAACTATGATGAACTCGATAGCAACATGCTAACAGCCTACAACTCGGCTGCCCGATGTTATTAAAATGCATTTCTTAAATTGCATCTTCATCTGGATTTTTTTACCACCAACTCGGTTGATGAAAGCGATGATAATGGATAGATATTTCTTTAAGGCATCTTCACCTTGGAAACAATGTATCAAGGCCAATCCAGTTTCAACAGGAGTATGAGGGATGATTACTGCTGATTTCTGCAGCAGTCAAAAGTGGCCCCACACAAGAGCAGGGGTCTCAAACTCGCGGGCCTTTGCGGCCCGCAAGACGATATTTTGCGGCCCGATACCTGACAGCAAAGTTTTGTGTTATGCGGCTCACGCGTATCCCCATTCTCATATCTATAATGTGATTCTCCGCGACGGTTTCAGTCGAATCTCACCGTCTAGTCTAATTCTGACCTCTTTTATGTTTGTAAAGGTTTGGACGTTGATTATAATGGCAAAACCCGTTTTAAATCAGACTAAAAGTTTTTATTTTATAGCATTTTATGAGACGTGGCCAAGTGCGGTTTTGAGAAAATGCACTTTGAATATTGGATATCCATCTATGAAAAGTTTAATTATAACTGTGTAAATCGCTTTAGACTTTAGTGACGAGTGATGGAAACTCCGAGCCTGTCAACAATAGGGTCAGTCAAAAGGCCTTTTCTACGATAAATAATCCAAAACTCATTCTCCCTACAACTACAATGGCATCTTCCTTCGCATCAATAATTCATAAATGTTGCCTGCTCCTGCTTAATGTTTGAACACGTTTAAGTTTTAAAATCACTTCTGGGAATCGCCATATTTTTATTTTATGCTTTTTCGTCTCTGTTTACCAGAAGTTCATTATTTTCATAGTATTTATTAGCTGAATATTTGTACTTTAGATTACGGTATCGGGAATTTTATTATTTTACTAAGGATATACTGCAATGTAACAATGATATGCAATGTGACAGCTGGGTCTGTTGGTGGAGTTTAGGGGTGACGAGATGACGGCCGGGTCTACTTGTGGAGTTTAGGGGTGACGGGATGACGGCCGGGTCTACCTGTGGAGTTAAGGGGTGACGTATGCTCAATATTCGAGTTTAAATATCTTGATGGGCTAATTTTTGGAACAAACTAGTGAAAGTATGTG